TCCATCCATCATCTGGCTTAGGATCTATCTGCCACAAGTTGACAAACTGTGCCCTAGAAAACAGACACCGTTTGTGCTATTTAATTTTATTTCCTTCCCCCACAAACAACTTAGTACCTGTCAGATAACAAAACGTTAAGAAAAACAATTTTAATGAATAAGTGTCTGGATGAATGAAAGGTTCTGCCATTTCCCCCCACACAGACCCTGTCCGTTTCCCCCTCCTTCACCCCGCATATGCTCGATCTTAGAGCCCCTGCCTCACTCACCCTGGACGACAAGAAACAACAGAACCGGGAGCAGACACATGTCCTGCCTGGTGGTCTCCCTGCTGTTCGGCAAATGCCAGCTGCCCTCTGGGGACTTGAACTGAGCTCAGAGTCACACTGCCCTCTATTTCTCTAAAATATTCTTCTTCATTTCTTTCATCTCCTTTTCTTAATAATTTTTCTTCAGTTACTTCCTGATTTCATTCATTGATTGCAAAGCAGTGCTGTCTGTTGGGAGCTTATGGCTGAAATGATGAGGTGTTCCCCCCTCCTTGCTCTGGCCCCTCAACTCAGCAACCCCTGGAGTCTGACCCTGAAGACCTTCTCTCCGAGGAAGGCCTCTGCACCTCCCCTCCCTAGCACCACCTCCAGTCTGTGCACACCTACTTCCTGCCCCCGCCCATCTCCCAGCCCTGTTCTCCATCTCCATTGGCTACTGGTGTCTTTATAGAACTGTCCACTCAGATGTGCTCCAAATGCCATTTCTTGTCATCTTCACTCCGAAAGTGAATCTGTCCCAACACCTGGGTCCTGGGCCCAGGGCTTCCTCAAGCCCCTATCTGCCCCCACCACACTAGTCTTCCGTAGACAAAGGCCATGGGTCTTCTCCCTGCCACCTGCCACCCAGATGACCTTGCAAGGGTGGGGGGCTTGGAAGTGGAGCAGCCCAGGGCTTTGCCAGAGGAGTAGGAGAGAGTGTGGTGGGCCAGCCCTGGGAGGGAAGAGGAGCAAGAATCCCTGTCCCTTCAAGGTCTTTCTGGCTGGGCTGAGAATCAAATTGACATGAGACAGATTAACAAGAGAAAATCAAATATAATAGCATACATGCAGAGAGTCCACATAGACGTGACAGTCAGGCAAAAAGAGGTACAAATGGCGTCCTGAATGTAGGAGAAAGTGGGTAGGGGTCTGAGATTTCAAAGGGAAGGAACACAATTCACAGGAAGATGAAACCATTAAGTGTTCGGTGCATGTAAGTTTGCCCTGCCATGTAGTTGCATTACTCAGATAACATTTATCCTTTGTAATAATCCTTATTCTGCAAAAAGTCTTCCAATTTAGAGCCTTTATTTCATTAGGGAGGAACAAAAGTTTCTTTGGAGCCCACAGGGTCTTATTATACCTCACAATAATCGTCACGTCAAGGTGGCCTCTCTGGGGGCCTGACTTAAGTTCCTATACTTCTGTTTATGTCCACGTGTGAGGGCTGAGCTTTCTCCTGGGATTCAGGGCCCAGGGAACCCTGAATTTATGAACTGGTGGTGGGCAGAAATACTGGTCTCCCCTCTAACTTTACCCACCCCTCTTCCTTTCTCGAGGTTGATTGAGGTGTAATTGAGAGAAAATAAACCACATACGCTTAAAGTGCAGAGTTTCAAGCATTTTCCTTGTTGATTTTACTACTTCTCAAATCTTACATGTGGTACAACTTTGTGATGCTGTTCAGTTCTATGTCTCTAACACACACACACACACACACACACACACACACACACACACACACACACCATTTCATGCAACCACCACCACAAACATGGAAAGCCATAATGCTATCCCTTCGCCTGAAAGATCTTTAACTCTGACTTCTTCGTTAATGGCAGGCAGTCTAGCTGGTGAGATTAGGCCTTCAAGCGCTGATGTGGCTTCTGTGCACTGTGGTTCCAAGGTGCACCGGTTCAGGATTCTGGAGCCTTTGCAGGTGCTCTTTGTATGGGCCCCCATGTGCGCCATCTAGTGGCCAGTCTGTGGCCGGCGATGGTCTTCAACAAGTTCTCAAAGTCCACTATTCTCCTCAGGGTCGGATCAGGAGTGCACACTGGGGAGTGATCCTGGGAGATCAAAGGTCCTTTCGTCAGCTGCTTTCTCTTCTCCATCCCCCAATACCCTTCCCAGCTTTCAGAACCTCTACCCCCTTCCTCCCTGGTCCTTTGGTTGGGAAACTTGGAGAGCTGAGGCTTTTCTCTCCCCAGTCGG